CTGAGCTCTTCCACCCATCTGCTGTTATCTTGTTTATTTGTAATTTTCACCTAGGGTCAAAATCCCCCTCTTTGATAGTAGGATTTCTACTCAAAGTGTAAGTTCCTGTGTCCTGAGAACTTTTAGGCAGGAAATATTGAACAAACTTTCTCACACATTTGGCAGTGCATTGCTACATTTGTGTTACAGTGTTACATTTTTGTTAAATAGACAGTCTCATATATTGGCATTACATTTCTACAATTATTTTTCTACAATTTTATAAAAGAATAACTTTTACTTCCTTCATCACTTAGTGACTGTTCTAAGTTATAATGGCACTGAAAAAAGTGCCCCCCCCCGAGCCACAGCCGAGCAAGACACCCCCCCTTTGATTACCTCCATTTCAAAACTTCCCTTGGTCATCCTTTTTGACTTGTTAAATAACATCAGCCTGTTTCTAACTCACATTGTAGCGGATACAAAGAGCCATAAACAATAGTTAAAAGGGTATACATATCAAAAGGTAAAGAAAGGCAAAAGGTATACATATCAAAAGGTAAAGAAAGGCGAAGTAAATAGAGGAAGCAATAAACATTCCCCCCCTCCTTTCTGAGAGACATAGGATGGGAATGGATTTGAAGAATCATTTTATTTTTAAACATGTATTCCTACATTCTAGAGGGGGGGGGAAAGCAGAAAATGGCGGTAGTTTTAAATATGAGTTACAACCTGCGGGATCTTACTTCAAAATGCCAGAATTGTCTCCCAAGTAAAGGCGTATTTGTTTGAAATAGGATCTAGCTGTTCTTCGATTTTTACTGCCTCCATCCACGTGCTCAGATCAGTGTTCCTAGGATTCACAGCATTAGAAAGACTGTTGAAAAGTGCTGCAGAATTACAATGCGACTATTTAAAATACAGCCCTATACATATTTAGCATAACATTCTAACAATGCACTTAAAATTTCTTCACGAACTGGGGAGAAGGAACATATTTTTCAACTAAATGTGTAAAAGGAGAGTACATCATCTCCGCTCTCTTCGCAATACAGATACATCTTAGAACTAGCGTACATCACCGACGGTGTCCCGAAAGGCCTATTTTGCTCAGAACGCGTTGCGATGAGCGCGGGACTATTACGGTGGCCGAAATAGGTCTCGCTCTTCCGGATTGGCGGCGGGAGAAGGATTATTATTTGCTAGCGGCATTGAAGCGGCGGGTGGTTTCAGCATGGCGGCCTCCATAGACGCTTGTGTTTCTGCTCCACGGGAGGGATGCTGGCCTGAAGGCTCAGGTGCCGAAAGCGGCTTTATTCGCG